ATGATTTAACAGACAGTCTCCAAAATTTATTTTTAGCTCCTTTAACTGTTTCATGTAATGTAAGATTCCAAAATTTGTTATTTTTAATTCTTTTACTCGTCTTGATAATATATATAAGTACAAGTTTTATATTAAGTTCCTTTAATGGTTTTATGTAAAAATAAAATAAAACATTAAACGAAAGATTCCCATACCCCCCCCCCCCAAAAAAAAATTAAAGTTGAAGTACTGTAGCCAAGACGAATAAAGACATAAGTTGTGTAGGAAGATTATAGTTTCATATATTTTTAGATAATAAAAAAGTGAGTTTCATCATAGTGATAAGAGAAAAACATTACAGTCGTTTCTGCGGCTAGAAATATAGATATGATACATTATGCACGTGCAGATAATTTTGGAATAGTGTCTGTTTCCGTTATTATTATTTCTTAAAAGACTGTTTTCATCCGTATCATAAGGAGGGCATTTTTTTAAAATAATGCCAAAAAAAAGGCAGTCCCTGTGATTAGAAAGTATTTGGTGATTTAAAAAGGCGTTCCTTCATGCACAGAATTTGTACAAATCCTATGTAAATTACAGTTAATCCATACAGATGTCTTCACTGTAGCAATACACATCCAAATAAACGACATCAATCCTGCTTAGTATAGAGACCGAATGAACGACGCACCCCGCCTCCGGGTGGTAATTTCGTTGGCTAATCAGTAGCAGTCGTGAGGAAATCACAATACACCACAGGACCGAAGATTGGCCAAAATTATACACACTTTTTTTTAGTATTCCTCGAGGCAAGTATGGCGAATGCACCATGATCGTTAGCTTTTTTTCTTGTGGCACCGAATCTTTTTTCTTTCACTATTTTCTGTTTTGGCTGTGTTGTACCTATCCCGGGTATCGAAACCCGGTTTTTAGCGTTATACGTCTCAAAACTTGCTGCTGAACCACTGGAGGGGGGGGGGTATAGTTTTGTGGATGATGCAAAAATTCGCTTATCGAAAATGTTTTTCCTAATGTATCCCTTGATCCAGGTACATCACTTAGTTACATTGTGTATCAATTGATCCAGCTACATCACGTAGTTACATTGTGTATCACTTGATCAAGATACATCATGTAGTTACATTGTGTATCAATTGATCCAGGTACATCACGTAGTTACATTGTGTATCACTTGATCAAGGTACATCACGTAGTTATATTATGTATACTTGATCAAGATACATCACGTACTAGCTACTCTATTATGCATGCATGATTGATTAATACGAGCTGTGGATTTACTATTTCTAATATAACTATTACATCGTACAGTACTTGATATTTCTATTCATGTTGATTTACTGGTTTCAAACGGTCATAAATCTATATCAAATCTCATTCATTAAAAGGGAATCCATCTCGTACCTTAAAGCAATCTGTCCCTCTCCATGTGTAGTCGCCATCTCATCAGGCATAATTTGAATTTTATGGGAAGGCAGAAATACATATTTAAGCTGCTATACAATTAAAGACAAAATAAGGCCAATTTTATCGAGCACATTGTATGAAATTATCTAGTGTTTTTGCTTTTTCTTTTACTGAAGCCTTGAACGGTCAAGTACCTTAAGGCTCACCATGCCATTACCGAAATCACCGGAAGCAGCCTTTCACAAAATAGCAGTGAGCAACTGGTTCCACACGCTCACGCATGCGCTTCGAACGTAAGCATGCTTACCTAAGACCGCTTGTTCATAGCGAGCAGCATCTTTAACACGATCATCAATTACTAGGAAAAAAAAAAGTGGGGGAGGGGACAGTAGAGACCCACAGCTAGCCTTCCGTGAACGAGTCGACTTGCCAGGATCAGGCATATTCACGTAGTCTTAAGTAAAATGTAGTCAGATGCAAGTTAGTAAATAAGGGGGTGGAAAGTTTACACTTTTCAAGGAGACAGTCGTAAAGAGACCTTCATACTTAGGAGAGCTTGGAAACAACATAGAAGTCTATGTATCATCTATTTGTAATAAAATGTATACAAATAAAGATATCATAAAGACTATACAGAATTAGCTGGAAAAGGTTATCATCTATATTTCTTTCTGTGTAGGATAATACGAGATGGTAAGTGTAATCGAAGAAAAGAAGAGGGAATCTTCAGTAGCCGCGGCTATAATTAGATCTCAAGTTGGTCAATAGATGGAGCTAAGAGCTAAAGTTTGTACTTGAAAAAAAACAACAACTCAGAGCCATTCTATGAACCGCTATGCCGCGACTAAAAACTGCTGAGAAGAAGAAAATATAACAGACCTGGTAGCAGAGAACAAAGAAGAGGGTGGATATAGAGATCATATCATTACTGAGTAACAATTACATGCTTACAAAATACCAGAGGAAATGTACGCAGATATCCATAATTGTTCAGTGTTATGTTATCGTAAAAACAATGTTTTACTAAGGGAAATATCTGACTTTAAGGCGCAAAAATGGAAGGCGTTAAAACATTTCTACCTATAGATAGCCTTTGCACTATTATTTTTAATTCATAACTTCAAAAACAAATTTTTCTTCTACCATCAGATAGCAATTTCCGTTACGTATCTTGAAGTTTAAAACGTATAACGCTATGCTGATTTTAATACGAAAGATAAGGCAAGGATTAGGCCCAAAACGGAACAAACTTTCAGCAGGAGAAAGTAAAGCATTTTTATTGTGTAACAGTTCTAAAGTCTTATATCACCTCCATTCTCACTCCCTAGTGGTTACATACTTCCGGCAGATTTCAATAAGTGAGAATTTAACTCTCTGATATTACTATTTTCTATACCCTGGATGTATTCTAGTGTGTTTTAACACCTGCCACATGAGCCAACCCACCTTTTAGTACTGAGCATAGGATGGTCAAACGGGTGGGGGGGGGGGGGTCATTCCGGAAACCGTTGAATTAGGGTTATTTCGATAAATGAACCTCGATATAACTTATAAAACGAAAAACAAGATATTAATGAAACTATGAAATCAATATGAATTATACTATGGTGGTCCCATACTGGCCATTATAACATCATTCTTATATTTACTCTTCATTGCAGAAATATGACACGATGAAATCAATATGGATTATACTATGGTGGTACCATACTGGGCATTGTAACATCATTCTTATATTTACTCTTCATTGCAGAAATATGACACGATGAAATCAATATGGATTATACTATGGTGGTACCATACTGGGCATTGTAACATCATTCTTATATTTACTCTTCATTGCAGAAATGGCATTTTTAATTTGAGTATCGCTAGGGAACTCGTCTTGTAATGAGTCTTTGGGCTTTACTGTGCCGTTAGTTTCATATAATATTCAAACTAATGATTTCTTATACACGATTCCAATCCTGCTCTTTGGAAGATAACGATACTATTGTGTCCGTTTTTTGTTCCACTGTCAATGCAGTAATTAGTTGACGAATCTCCGATTCAGCTGATATGTCAAATCAATCGAGTTCTTTCCTCACCCGACCTGGATCCACGGTTTAGTTTAATCGCTACAATTAAACCATTACGTTCACAACCACATCTAGAACATTCTAAGCATGTTTCATTGCTACATAGTTTTACTTTACATTTATAAGTTAACTTCTCTATAATGGTTCTCATGGTCTCGGGTCGGGTCCAGCGAACTAGACCTCGAAAATAGTGCCAAATGTCCTTTTTTTTTGTCTAATTAAAACAACCGAAACCTTTCCGGAATGACTTGTTTTTAATCCACATCAAGATCGGGCTGGCTCGTGTTAAATGTTACCTTACTCCGTAAACTTAAAGCTATACATTTTCTATACCCGGGATGTATTCTAGCAAATTATAAACGTTACCATTTTATTGTTGTAAACGGACCGGTATAAAAGGTTTAATGTACCCAAAAAGTATTGTAGTACATTTGAAACGTCACCATTTTATTGTTGTAAATGGACCGGTATACAATATTTTATGTACCCGAGATGTATTGTAGTACATCTTATTATCGTAAACAGCCAGCTCTACGAGGATGTAAAAACTACCTTGTTACCCTAAACGAACAGATGTATAAAATGCACTTCTGCAGATTAGATTCGTTACCTGAACGGTGAAAATGATCAAGGATGTTTTCTGTACCCGGGATGTATTTACATATTTCAGTATGTTTTAAAGTTACCTTATTACAGTCAACGGTCCACTAACTACATAAAAGTCTACTCTGCCTGGGAAGCATTCTAGTAGATTTTAAATATTAACGTGCAACTATAGGTTTGTTTACATGGGATGTGCTAGATTTTAATTGTTACCTTACTACAGTCAACGGTCCACTAACTACATAAAAGTCTACTCTGCCTGGGAAGCATTCTAGTAGATTTTAAATATTAACGTGCAACTATAGGTTTGTTTACATGGGATGTGCTAGATTTTAATTGTTACCTTACTACAGTCAACGGTCCACTAACTACATAAAAGTCTACTCTGCCTGGGAAGCATTCTAGTAGATTTTAAATATTAACGTGCAACTATAGGTTTGTTTACATGGGATGTGCTAGATTTTAATTGTTACCTTACTACAGTAAAATGGTTTTTCTACTTCGAATCTATTCTAACAGACTTTATGAGTTACCTAACTGGTATAACAGAACAATTAGCTGCTGAAGGTTTTCGATACGAAGGTATTATTCTTGTAATTTGAATTGTTACTTTATTACCATAAAAGGGCATCTATACAATAATTTTTGTATCCGAGATGTATTTTATAGATTTGTTTTCGTTTACCTGATTGATGTAAGTGGGCAACTACGGTGATTTCTCGACCTGGGATGGACTTTAGTATAGTTTAAATGTTACCATCTTACTTCGTCCCTTTCCGTCTTTTGCGTTCCTCCTACTTATCGTCAAGTATAAACAGAAAGTAGCAAAGCTGGGGTTGGTTGATTATTCAGATTTTCTTTATACTTAACTATAAACAAGTTTTGAAATTGACAGGCGAAAGACACAGAAAATCTGGGTGCAAAAATAGAATGCTTATGACTTTTATTTACCATAGGGCATTAGAACAAGCTTCTGTACAACATGCCCTATAAATATCCATGCATATATACAAAATTGGCAGAAGTTGATTTTTAAATTACTCTAGCTATAAATGCAATAACTAATCATTATTGACATCGTTACACATTAAGTTTGTCTCACAATTGAATTTCATTTTAAGTACATCTGACAAAAACAGTACTTAGGAGAAACGAAAAAAAAATCACATTTTGCAAACGGTAAAAAGAAGACAACTCGATTTAAATATATTTTTCATTAGGCAATCTCTGCCTATTGATTTAAGTCTACAACACATACTCCCTTTACTGTGTTAGATAAATTCATTTTAACCGAACAGGCTCTTTACTGGAGCTTTAAAAATATAAAACTGTAAGAAAAAATAAATAAAACAATACAAAGTGTTGACTTAACTATATTATCTCACTCAGTTCATATATAAAATTTTCTGACTTTGTACAAGCTATGAAACATGCAAGGCACTTTCTCAGACACCGTAAAACACGAAATAAATAGGCTGACTCGAACAGTCTATCTTTGGACAGAAGGGGTGGACGGGTGTAAGTTGAGTGAAACTACACTTCAGTTGCCAACATCCCGTCACTGTTGTCTTCGGGCACATAATGATCTTCTATAACATATATACTACTGTGAGGGCACGTTCTCGACGACGACGACGCCTCACTGTGGCGAAAAGAAAGAAAATATATTAAGATGGTGTCCAAAAATGTTACGATCTTGAAGTCAAAATTCATCAAAACAAGTGCTTTTGATTCAAATACCGCTGTTTGTAAAATAAGTCGAGAAATTATGGGGTTTTAATCAAAATCAACCCGCTTCGAAAGTCAAACAGCCCATTCATGATATATTATAAAACACATTCGACACGTATGTAAATTAATAAGCCAAAACCAGCAAAATGTGTAATTTTACAATAATACATGTGTGATCACCAACACCAACCTCATATATATTAAATAGCACTGAGTTTCATTACCTTGTTTAAAAAATATAAATTACAAAGTTCACCAAAGAGTCAAGTGTACAGTGTTGGCTTGATGCAATATACAACTACTGTTGATACAACTTTAGCATCTATGTACACATTTAAAATAAATACTTATCAAAAAAAAAAAAAACTTACGTTTTTCTAACAATGTACAGTTAATATCTTCAGTTTCTAACTTATCGAAATATTATGTTTGCTTTGAACGTATTAATGTATTATCTAAACCATTTATCATAAAATTGATCTTCGATGAATTACGTCACGCTTACGTGAGTTATTTTACACATTCACGAAGTTATAAATTGCTAATGTGCAAAAATAATTAATTACCTTTGACTGACTGATGGAAGCGGCGCCTGGTGTGCCGACTGTTTCCTATCTAATGGTGTATTTGAATTAATTACACCTTTTTCTGAGTCTCTGTCCAGCACTTTGCTGGCACGGCTGCTGAGGCAGTCCGTATTAAGTAGTTTCGTAGACTTTGTCTGCGGTAATGAATGCTCTTTGGCAAACATAGCAGGGTCTTGCCCCTCAGTGCTTATGTTTAAGAACTTTGAGCTTGGTCGCTCGAAAGTATTAATTATTTGATTGTCTAAGCACTTTCTGTTTAAATTGTGCACTGAATTAAGTTCGTTTTGCTTCCGCATAACTTCTTCATCTTGCCTTTCTCTCTCCCGCCGTTTTTTTCTCCGAAGAAGTAGAAGAATCACCACTGCAACGATCACTAATATGGGAACCACGGCTGACAACGTGCCGATTAACGCCACGTGCTGTCCCGAGAGCCTGTCTTTGTCCGAGACGTGATGAGAGACGCCAGCTACAGCAGTCTTTGGTGGAGTGTCCACATTCTGCTCTACAACTCTCACCTCTGCAACGTTTTGCTCATTGTTGCGTACAGCCTGCTCGCACAGTTGTCCACTAAAGCCCCTTGGACATCACACACAAACACATTGCGCTGATCTACACAAGATCCTCCGTTCTGACAAGGATTCGAACTGCATTCGTTCACTTCGACGGAGCAATCCTTTGATGTGAATCCCGGATGACATTGGCAGTGAAAGTCGTTGACCAGGTCGTGACACGTTCCACCATTTGCGCAAGGTTTGGTAAGGCAGTCGTCCACGTTCATCTGACACAATGAACCAATGAAGCCCGGAACACACGAGCAATGAAAAGAATTTACATCATCCACACACGTCCCTCCGTTTAAACATGGATTCTCAGCGCAGTCGTTGATGTCCAGTTCACAGTTCTCCCCCATGAATCCCGTACCACAGATACACGTGTATCTGTCGGGTCGGTCCACACAACTTCCACCTGAAGAAGAAAACAAGAATTAAAGATTTTTTCCTACCTCTTAGATGAACGAACATTTTTATAATTTAGAAGTTCACTTGTGGACGTTGTGAATATGTTCAAGAAGCTCATTGGGAGTACACACCTACGCTTTCCAAGGCTGTTATATTTAATAAATGTCTACGTAGTAGACGGGATGTTAATATGTGTAAAATAAAAAAATATATTATTAGTCGTGAAACGACTCGCAGATCCCACAAAATAAACCTTATGCCACAACATAACATTAATTTTGGGTTATTTTTTATAATAACAAAACTACTTATACGTCGTGAAACGACTCCCAGATCCCACAAAATAAACCTTATGCCACAACAGAACATTAATTTTAGGTTATTTTTTATAATAACAAAACTACTTATACGTCGTGAAACGACTCGCAGATCCCACAAAATAAACCTTATGCCACAACATAACATTAATTTTGGGTTATTTTTTATAATAACAAAACTACTTATACGTCGTGAAACGATTCATAGTTCCACAGATAATGTAAGGTAACTAGGAGTATTTCATTTGATTGTTAAAAACAACATAAATTTCAGTTCTACTCGCATATCTACAAGTCTAGCATTAATTTTTGTTTAACCACTGTCCTCAACTTACCATTTTGACATGGGTTTGGTTCGCATTTGTTCTTCTGAATTTCACACTTTACTCCTGAGAATTCGTGTAGGCACAAGCACTGGTATCCTCCTGGTTGGTCTACACACGATCCTCCGTTCAAGCATGGGTTCTCGGTACACATGCTAGCGGAGGTCTCACAGTGCCGTCCGTAGTAACCCAGGGGGCAGTGGCACGTGTAGTTCTTCCCTGTACCCTAAAGGGTGAGAGATAGATGATCTTCATTTATACGCCCCTTAATATCGTAAATACTACTGAAGAAAGTTGATGACAATAAAGTGGCAGCTTATATAGTTGGATGTACCATGGCTTTTAATCAGTTGACATTCATAAAAGCAGATATCAAAAATCAGTTTCTAATACAATAACTAACGGAAATAACGTTTGTCACTTAATTCGCAAACTGATTAGTATTTATGTATATTTGTAAAAAAAAAAAGAATAATTATAATAAGATTAATTCTTATGAATCTTACGTTTACGAAATACAGATACATTTTTTTGCGCAACCTTACGAAATGTGATATGTATTAATGGACAAAAATGTTATTCTACCCTCAAACAGAATTCTAACTGAAATCTAAAACAAAAAGGGTTATTATTTACTGGCGTTAAAAATCTTAAGATTCTGACACCTAAGATTTAAGGCTGGAGATAAAAAACTTATAATAAAGAACATGCGAAAAGATATAAAAACTATAAGAACATCAACAACAGCTTTATGCTCAACGAGTAACAATAACGTACCCTGCACGTTCCGCCATTTAAACAAGGCTCATGGGAACAGTCATTGATGTGAGCTTCACAATCCAAACCCGTGAAACCCTCTGGGCATGTGCAAGTGTAGGATCCGTGCCCAGTGTTTGTACATGTTCCGCCATTCTTACAGGGTTTGTGGTTAGTGCAATAATTGAGATCTGTAAAAAAAAAAGAAAGAAAAAAAAATGGTGTTAGATCAGAACAGTTTACTATTTTATTCGGTAACAAAGTCTGGGTTCAATGTTTTTAACAACATAACACACATGAAAACAGGGAGTTTTAAAAATGTTATTTTCTCAACTTTTTATACCAGTTTGAGTGACTTTGATGCTATATCTCTAGATGTAGCCGTGCAAATTTTGAACGTTTTAAAGTGAAGGTTCTACTTCAAACGATTTAATACGGAAAATTAAACTTACCTTGGTTACAGAAGAGTCCACCCCATCCCTCCTCACAATTACACTGCCAAGGTTCAGAGCACGTGCCGTGAACACAACCTGGATACCGAATACACTCATGACAAGTAGGACCTTGCCAACCTTCCCGGCAACTAGAGATAAAAGAATGAAGCTTGAGGTCAATGTCTGATATTTAATAAAGTTAACAAAATTATGAAAAAAGTTGAGAAGGGCAACAATGGTTTTTTAAGTTTTATACTGAAAATGAACAAATTAGCATGATGTCAAACCATAAATACACAAAAACGGAAACTACTAGGTAAAAGAATACCAAAGAAATCCGAGTGACTGTATTTGAACCATTTCGACAAATATTCATAATACACCCCCCACCCACTCCTAACTCTTCGAACTATAAAAAAACTAAAATTCTGAACTAACAGAAAACACCATGTCTGTATAAGTACGGACTATTCTTATTTTGTAATTTCCCCCCAAAAAGGGTGCCGAAGGCCGCATGGAGGGGGTCACCGTTTTTAACCACTTACAACACAATACAGTAGTGTGTTGTCTGTCAGTCGACACTAAAATGACGTCACATAAGGGACGCTTTAGCGTTGCAATTTGTACTGTCGTGACGTCAGTAAAATGTGCGCATGTCATGAATCACGAGAAGAATTATGCATTCTGTAGGCTGCAACACAGCATGACATATGAACTTCAAACGCAATAAATAAAAATAATTGTTACTCTTAATTTTGGTGTAATTTACTCTTGAAACAGAACACTTTCGGAAACCCCGCGGAAGTACATCTAGTCAAATAACTGATATACGTGTTTATTTATTATAATCCGTTTGGTATTTCTGTGTCTGTAACCGATTCTAATCAAAATCGCTTATCATTTTAGATATATAACCACATATTTCCCACTGGCAAGAGGTCATTGTTTCCCTAATTGTAATTCGCACCTTTGTGACGCCAACGCCATCTACGTTCATTCGTTTTGTTGTATGTTCTCACAGTTCATAAGGTGTAGAAAATTAAGACAACCATCTTTTAAGATCTCGGATCGTCTACTACGTGCCTTAAGATTTTTATAACACATCAAGACAGCCTGTTGTACTTCTTCCCTCAGCCATTAAACACATTTAAAATCTTAGCGCGCGTGCTTTCCCACGGAGTAAACGAATCAAGGCATGAAAGAAAACTGGACTTACATGCACTCGTTAGGCTGGTTGCAGTAGCCATGCTGGTTGTGACAGCCTGGAAAACAGACGGCTAAAAAAAAAGAAGAAAAGTATTTCGTTGTAATAACAAAAACAAACAATGAATTATCGATACAAGTTTTTTTTTCTCTTATTTAAGCAACCTTATAAAACTACCTAAAATATATTTTAGTCTCACAATGAGAATGCCATAAACAGATTTTAAAGGAATTTTTTTTTCATAATCCCCATTATTTTCTCATAACGCTTAACATACAAGTAAGCTAGAACCGTGTTCATCTCATCACTTCGTTAGCTTTTACGATTTTTTCATATTATCTTGTAATACTGTTTATATCCTTATAGTTATAAATTCCCAAACCTTACACTATTTATTATTAACAGACGTTTAAACCAAAACAAGGAAATATGAATATTTTTATCGCTATCATAAAACGTCATTCAATTAGTAAGTAAGTAAGTCGGTGCTTGCACACACTAAAACAAAAAACCGTTTATGAGACAGTTATTTAACTTCTCATACAACAGACAATAACTTCCTGGGAGTTTTGGAGTTGCGCGGCAGCAACAAGAAGTGGTCTTGACTTGAGAACGCGTCATTGTTGGAAGACGTCACCGAATTAAGGGTGGCGCGCACTATAGCGACAGCTGGCCCCAGAGGCGAGCAGATGTCGGCAATGGTCCCGCCCCCTTGCGGAGGTGACCTACATTACCTGTAACCTGCGGATGGCTCGTTTTACTTCACAAAATCGTATAAAAAAAAAGAAAGAAGTTAAACAATTTTTCACATTAACCGTAATTTCCAAGCCATACAATGCTGCGCTACTTGTTGAGCACGACGTGGTGCGTGAAGAACATAAACACGCGAATTATCATCAAAAGGAAATAACTTCCCTTCTTCAGAGATCAAGCGTTACACGATTCTGGTCATGCTCACCTTCGGAACAGTACTCTCCTGTCCACCCCGACAAACACACTTTCTCACCCGTCGAACTGCACGTGTAGTGACCAAACTTGTCGTTCCTCGGTCGGCAAAGTTTGGAACACGTTTCACCGTAGTAGGTATCATCACACAGAACTCGGTAAGTATACAGCATCGTGGTGTTGTTTCTTCGGTGTGTACCTTCCGACCACCGTGGGCTGACTTCCAGATAACGCTGAATGGCAAGTCGTGTGATCAAAGATCTACCTCCTGGAAAATCGATTCAATTACTAAAAACATACAACGTAATTAAAGTTCCCTTATAAGTACATTAGTATAGAAATACCGTGAGCACTTTCTAGGCACGAGTTATCTTTACCCGTACAGTCGTGAGACAAATAGTTTAAGTAATAATAAAATTCGGCCAAGTTTTCAAGCTGTTCAAAGTCCTTCAACACCATTAAATCAATATACATTTATTATTATTTTACTGTCCTTATCTAAATTTGTTACTTTAAGAAAAATCACCATTTACCGTAACAAGGTTTGAAATACTATTTTATTAATTTTTTTTTTTCATAAAACTTCAAGTGTAATAATCTTCCACAAATAACAATAAAAATAAACTACTAGGCTTAGCTTACGTATCAGCTAAGGATTGAATTTTTAGTTTGTATTCACGTTCATACAAATATCTAAACGTTTTCACTACTTATTATTGCAGCCCTTGTTTATTACACGCTCAGCTAAATGTTTTTTATTGTTAAATTACAGTTAAAATACCCACAGGATTACAATGAAAAAAGTATTAATAAAGTGAATACTGCCATTGCAAACAAATTTCCTTGCGTGACATACATTTGACCGAGAATACCAATAGATGGCGCCTTGATGCCAGACTTACTGTACAACAAATGACCCTCAGGTCTGAGAAATAAGTTTCCCACGGTCGGTAGATTACGGCCTTGAAAATCAGCGGGAAGGGGGAAAGATGCAGAGCACAAATTACACCAGATGGCCAGCTGACCGCTTCCGTCAACGTCGCTAGCCTTTCAGGAAACGCAAAGAAATGAGAAATTTTACTTGCTGGTGTTGGCCCTCCCCACTGACCACGAAATGAGAGACAGCGTCAGAAAAACAAGCCATCTCTTCTACAGACAAACGTAACGTTCCTAAAAAGTTTCGTTGGCGAAACTATAGCTAACCATTATCACCTGTATTAGGGTTTTATGGAAGCTTATCTTAACCTTTTCCGAGAAAAATATTCCAACAATCCAACTTTTGCAGAAAAATATTACCTAGTTTACTGACTATCTTTTGGAAGTAGATTACCACATGAAAGCCATGATACAGTGGACTACAGAAATTCTAGGCACGGTGTTGCAGAATAAATTGTGAAAGACACAATGAAGCGCAAAAGGTAAAGCACTAAAACAACTATCATTTACTTGAAACAAAAATACAAACGAAATCGTATTTGAAATTGAAACTGTTTACATCTGATCTGTTGAACTCTGGAACTAAGCGAGTCATCACCGACATTGGTTTACAGTACGACAGATATAATGAAAACATTCATTAAATAAGCTTGTATGGAAGAGAACCTGCACATGGTTAGCGAGAACTGATGCTTTTAGACTATTATCGGTCGTTATTTGTATTACCCTAGCGTTAAGCTTCGGAGTCGTTCCACACACAACTGAAATACTAAAATATAAGTGTACGGCTAACAACAGTAAAATCGTACTGTCCAACATGATTAATGTTTACAGAGTCGTACCCAAATTAGCTGATGGTTTTCCAAGACTGAAAGATATTCCGTGAAATGTAAACATTATCCAACCTAATAACAATAGCAACGACAGTCATGATCAGTGAAATGTAAACATTATCCAACCTAATAACAATAGCAACGGCAGTCATGATAGATTAAGTAATCAAAAGTAAAGAATGTTAATGTTATTAATATTTTTGAACAGAAAATGAAACCGCTGCACAAATAGGGGAATTGAATAAAAAAACAATTGCAACTTACGAGTACATATGATAATACACAAGTTAGTGCTAAAACTCAATATTACAACATACGAGTACATCTGATAATACATAAGTTAGTGCTAAAACTCAAGGTTACAACATACGAGTACATCTGATAATATACAAGTTAGTGCTAAAACTCAATATTACAACATACGAGTACATCTAATAATACACAAGTTAGTGCTGAAACTTACCTCCTTCAACTGAGCTAACATGCCAAGCTTCGACAATCAGTGAAAACGTTCCCTGAAAGACAACAGTGTCATTCTGTATTTTCACAATAATTTACTTGCGATAAATTCTGTTTATACATTTTTCATTAAGATTTATAAAGTTTATCGTTTTTTTGAGGCTGCAGGTTAAAATTACGTACACCGAAGCATTCATTTATTATTATTACCGCTTTTTTTTTTTTTTAAGAGGAACAACGCTAGCAAATCAAGATACTTATTTTATCAAAGTCGGTTACCCATTCTCAGCACGTGGTTTTGTAACCAATTAAAAATCAGTTGTTCAACTCTAAGTAAGCGTACACACAGAGGTTGGTGACCGGGTCTTCCAACCGTGGACAGTCTCTCTGCTCCACTGGTTCAAATTGTAGGAATAGCAGGAGAAACAAAAGGCAAGGCTAACTTTATAGCCGACTTTAGGCAAATAAACGGGATAAGCACAGATAAGGGGCTGTTTTATCTCGGGATTACCGATCAACAAGCACGGTAACGATCTGTCATCATTATTAGTAGTATCGTATTTATATTACGATCTGATCACAGCTTATTTTAATGGATCAATAAAAGTAAGTTCGTAAATTCGGGTTTTTTACAACCACGTCGGCATTAAACCCTTGCAATGTTTATATGGTTTAAACTCCTTAAATTTATGCGACTTGTAGGAAATCAACTTAGTACTCATTTTAAATCATTTACACTTTCAAAACTTACAACACAATATAATAATATACCGTTAACAAAATAGTACACACAATATAATAATATATTGTTAACAAAATAGTACACACAATATAATAATATATTGTTAACAAAATAGTACACACAATATAATAATATATTGTTAACAAAATAGTACACACAATATAATAATATACCGTTAACAAAATAGTACACACAATATAATAATATACCGTTAACAAAATAGTACACACAATATAATAATATACCGTTAATAAAACAGTACACACAATATAATATATTGTTAATAAAATAGTACACACAATATAATAATATACCGTTAAAAAATAGTACACACAATATAATAATATACCGTTAAAAAATAGTACACACAATATAATAATATACCGTTAAAAAAAGTACACACAATATAATAATATACCGTTAATAAAACAGTACACACAATATAATAATATACCGTTAAAAAATAGTACACACAATATAATAATATACCGTTAATAAAACAGTACACACAATATAATAATATATCGTTAATAAAATAGTACACACAATATAATAATATACCGTTAATAAAACAGTACACACAATATAATAATATACCGTTAAAAAATAGTACACACAATATAATAATATACCGTTAAAAAATAGTACACACAATATAATAATATATCGTTAATAAAATAGTACACACAATATGAAAAGGCCGATATATAATTATTATAATAGTTGATAGCTGACATGTTTTTGTTTTTTTGAAAATTGTTTAAATATAGTTTAAAATATAAGCAACTTACTTCATAAAGCTTTAAACTGGCAAAGAAAACTTCGCCTCTTCTAGTCTAATTTATTGATCAATTACTTTGTTTAATTACGAACCAGAATTATGATGAGACTATACACTAATATTTATAAGCAAGAACAACATACTTAACTAGGTATACAGTCATTACCAGGCTAATCTTTAGTTTTAGTCTACGTAGGTAGCTACTATCAGAATATTAATTATACAAAAAATATTATCAAAACTGAAAGAAAATAGAAAACTTACCGGCCACGAAAAATCGAACGAAAACCGAACTTTTTTATCCAAGTGATAAACTGAATTATTAACCATCACGGGCGTTATGACTTCTCCGAACGTGCACGGCGGGTTTGGGTCAATTGTTGTTTGATAATGTTTCAAACATACACGAAAAGATGTCCGACAAACACTACTGCACGATCCTTGGGCAGTACGATACCCACTACAACAGTTCCCCTCAAAATCTCGCCCGTAGTCGTTAGTAAAGGAGACAAGTCGAAGTTCGAAAACTCCAGAGCCGTGAGTCTGAAAATAAACAAAAACTTGAGTCAAGTCATGGCTTTCACTAACACTCCAATTTCAAAGTTGTAACAGGGCCATGACCCGAAAATCTCACGTAATAAAACAAACAACAAAACAACTCAATTATCGGTTCCCACGGCACCAAAACAGAGAGAACGTGTTCTGGATTTTTACGAAATTCTACATGTGCAAAAAGATTTCTAAACCCACACTGACATCTAGTGCTTTTAAACGTCATACCTTAGCGCGCGCGTGCACACACACAAAATTTGATGCCTATAATTCATAGAATCACGCTACTATATTACTAGTACACTCGATAATCAAAGTTATGGGCTGGAAATATTTAATAAAGTTTCACAACTTAGGATTTATAAATAAATGGTGTTTAACTACAAAGTTAATTTTTAGTTTTATTCTAGAAAGGAACTTACCAGGGATATCGCAGTAAAGACGAGCAAGGCAGAATGAACTAGAGACGGTTTAATTCGCCGCCCCATCGCGCCAGTCCACAGACTTCTTCCAGACTGTCGAAAGACGCTACTGTGCTAAACTGAAGTCAGCCTCGCTTTCGACCAGCTCAGGCTCCGCCTCAAATTGTAATTGACAGCACTCTGAAATATAACAGGCACAATCCACTGTCAGATATGTATTGTTGGCACGTAAATTTCACACAAGATATTCACACTATCGAAGACTTTTACAGTTATAGTATCATATCAAAATCCATAGGTTCTGTATGAAGCCGGATCTTTGCTGCAAAATATATTATTTATATCGATGCTTGTTTCCACACACGTATATCCAAGTAGATTTTTACCTAGAGCGTATCGGGAGACACATCACACGTGGAGGCACAGACTAGCGAGCACAGAGCAACCAAGTGATTCTGGCAGCAAGGCGCGTGGCACGAGGGTTTTATATAGGGCCGGCTGCATATATTACTAGCTAGCATAATGAGGCCCTATTGAAATAGTCCCCACTAGTCGAGAACCTTTCAACGCTTCAGTGATATCAACCACAGAGGAAGTTTTTAACGTGTAACTTTCTCTTTTCGCCTTCTGAAGTAAACTAGAAACTACGTACGTTGAAAGATTTAAACATGCGATATTTGTAATATTGCCGCACCCGGTTCAAATAAACAGCTGATAGCAAACTAATTTACATGAGAGAAAAATTAAAACACATTTTAGAATCTTTCCGAGTTAGACAAGCTCGACGTTTCAATGCTTAGTACAGCAACAGAAAACCTGGATAATTTATTTTCGGAAATTGTAAAACTTGAAATGAGACAAATTATATTACCAAAAGTAATTTAAAAGTCGATCAACAGATGGCGGGAGGTGATCTTAGTTTTGAAAAATACACAAATATGATAAAGCTTTTAGGAGTTTAATTTAATTAAGGGAAAAACAATTAGAGATTTAAAAAGACACCTTTGATTCCAATAATAAAATTAGCATAGTTATTAATGCTGGATAAAACAAGTTCATACAACATAAGATGACGCTCAGAAGTGTAACTTGTTTCTCTAAATTTTTATTTTATATTTTAAGATATTTTGGTTGGAAACACTAACGATACCGATTACCTACAATATTCAAAAAGTGTTACCGATGGTTTACATAAGCTTTCTTCTGCAACTCATGCACATCCGCAAACTTACCGAATTCCATCATTCTTGGGAAAGCTGTTTAGGATTTATAATCTGATAAACATTTTATTAACTTTCTTTATCATGCTTTTATTATTATTATTATTATACACGTACCAGAAGGACAAAAAAAAGTTTTGTAAAACCTTAAGGAGAAATAATCTGTTGAAAAATCAGTGGACTCGGTAGCAAGCAAGATATTTTTTGGTTTTGTTTAAGTATTGAGTAATCTCAAATAACTTATGTACAGAGTATTACTCAACTACAAGTCTACCCAAATAGAAGGTATTCTAAACAATACACCCTACTTTGGAGTGTAGACAGAATAACCGAGGACATCTGCTTGCGAGAACGAGTCACACCTGCCGTTGCCATCACGGCAACATTACAGCTAAAGTTAATTACCAAACTATCGTCTTCTCTCAATAGATGGCGACTTTCTTTGATTCATAAAATTATACGAGTGTTAAATATAAATATTTTTCTTTCATTTCAAACTCTTACAATTTTGTTGAAACTAATTTTGAATTGCTCATTTTCATAAAATCAAGGTACAGTAGGTTTCAAAAATCTACCGAAAAACAATATTAACATATATTTATCACAAGCACAATATATATTTTTACACTATATATTTCAGTAAGAGCAAACCGATAACTTGTATGTATATTTGACATTCTATCAAGTCTAAGTAGGTTGTTTTCATATATAGATTTTCAGAGGTAAATAAAACAGAAACTCACCCAATATGGCCATCAATACACAAGACAATTTTTGTCACTTTTAACTATTACACAAGAAATACCAATGGATATTCTGTTTCCTATATCGTCTGGTAATGGCTTTTCTGACGAGCACGAAATATTAGCATCTTTCACCTTTTGAGAGTGTGCACAGCTGCACAAGGGATTAATGAAAGAGTCCCAAGGGCCTTATGCAGTAAGATATCTAAAGAACCTTATATGAAGCTTTTCGTCGAACAATTTCCTCAGATCTGCGCCTAATCTCGAGGTTCCAGGGACGCGTGTCGGTCGCGTGCAGTCAGCCATCTCGACCAATCAGAGAAGCGCACTAATTGATTGTAACAAGTAGCGCGTGGCTCTAGAATACCAACAAAAGAAGATTAAATGTAGCCGTATTTAAGTGTTTTGTATTTGTAATAAAGATTTTTTGCTTATATATCTTCAAATATACAACGTTGATAGGTGACATGCTCTGGCGATTCAGTAGTGACATCTGCCGGGCAAGTAAACAATCCACAGGCGATGTTTTTAATATTCATGGCTGGAAATAAACTTGAATTTTTGTGAAGCTATAAGGTTGTAACGTGTTTTAGTACACCTGTATAAAGATTTCCGTTTAGTTTTCACACACTGTCGAACTGAATTAGTTACCACATGTTTTCTACAGGGAATATAACAAAAAAACAGTTTGTATGTCTTGTTAAAGTACTTATACGGTACGTATTCACTTGTAAAGCGATATACCGAATCCGGTTTGAATTTGGTTATACAACGTCATTTTCAAAAAGGCGGTACAACTAAGTAGTTAGCGTGCCTTACTACGGATTTGATAGTCCCTTGTTCGCGTCCCATTATCGCAACAAAATAAAAATTCGCGTTAAGCACTTTGGGCCCGTGGGTGTGTTGGATGAACGAGTGAATGTCAAATCCTACTAATGTACAAAATAAAAATAGGATGCATATGTCGTAATAAAAACTTCAATTTCTCATGTTGTATAACTTCTAGGCTGGTTGTGCGATATTATACCACAATAAAACTAAGAGCAAATGTATGTGATTAAAATGATTAGTGCCATTGTGATTTAACTTCACAAAAACCACAGATCAACTCCAGTTTCTCTAGTAACTTAAAAATAATTATCGTTAAAGTCATAAATAACATTCAACGTTAAACTGGTACACAATTAAAAACATTTTGTTTAGGCCTTCAAAAAGTTGACGACTCTACGTTTCGATGTTAAAACGTCATCCTCAGGATGTAACGTTGAAACACGTAGTGTCGTCAACTTTTTGAAGGCCATATATAGGCCTAAATAAAATGTTTTTAATTGTGTACCAGTTTAACTTTGAATATTATTTACGATTTTAACTTTATACACAAGTGCCTAAATACTATAATTAATCATTATCGTTTCATTAATATATCTAAATGCTCCGATAACGCCTACTTGATAGGTGTTTATTAAAAACCGCGCATTATTCTAATTACACATTCTCCATCCTTTACAAAATCTGGTACTACATGTGACGGGTTAACTAATCTATTTATTATAAATGTCAGATTGGTGTGTTATGATGGGAGTGTTATAACAAACTACGGACTTGTTTTCATACCGTTCACTACCGGCGGAATCCACATATTGTACCATATTGAATAAATGTATTCCTTCGCCTATTGGAAGCTTCAGTGTACCGAACTTATAGAAAAAAGTGGAACAAGTTACCCATTTTCTACGTAAAATATACAGGGAATACGATCAGTAATTAGTGGGGGTTTACTGATAGTATCTTTGTATATATTTCTCGTGTGACTGATATGTTGGTACAACACTTGGACTCACAAGGAATATGGTGAATAAATAGTTTTAAAAAATGTTTCAAAACAGATTGGTTGAAAAACCATAGTTGTTGTTGTTTTTCATAGTTCATTTTCACACAAAAATAGGACCACCATAAAAATACAGGACTTGGTAGGTTTTATACAGGTTTAGTAAACGTCGAATATCAACCGTTACTATATTTCTAACTATTACGGCAATATTATGAAAATACACAGACTATTTTTTAGTGCACCTGTAAAAGTCCACAAGTGTTTACGATAAATTGGTGTGTTTGAACTAGAATTTGGTCCACGGAACGACAAGAAATAGAAAGACCAGCGTCCACTACATGATTGTGATTTATTGGCATTTATAGAGAGCCTAACTGACACGTGTAAAAGGTATGACATAACAAGAGTCATGATATGTTTCCTGTTTTTCCTGTTGCTGACCTTGTTAAGCTTATTCTGTCTTGATAGGCGGCAAGCGTCGCACCTTTCTCTGTTTAAAAAAAAAAAGAAAAAGAAGGTCCAATTAAAGGAAGCTTAATACCGGAAACGACATATGTGCGTCACAGCTACTGCGTACATCAACTACACCACATTCATAAAACGATGTAGGGATTTAATAACTAGCCAAATGGTCATTGTGATATTTTCTAAATACTAACAGATTTTGTTTATCTTAAGCTGCCATTTTGATCCTCGTCGTTTTCCCTGTCTTACAAAAACCACAATTGTAGCTTGTATGTCTGTATCTGTTTAACAATGATCTCGCTGTACAAGTCTTTTAAAAGCACCACGTGTATAAGGAACATACAATATTTTAACAAAAATACGATTCAGGTCCACAGACACTCAGGTACTTAGTGGGACGAATATGTCGAATATTAGTTTTAAGATATTTTTAAAAACTCGTTTCTGTTAATGTTATCATACAACGACTGACTAATATCTTGTTATGAAAGAACATACGATATATGTGGGTAGGGGTTATTTTGTTTGTTTGTTAAGCACAAAGATGCACAATGGGCTATTTGTGCTTTACCCAACGCGGGTATAGATTTTTAGTGTATATAAATGATATGAACTAGTCTATATCATAGAACTATATCTCTCTTACATGAATATAAATGATATGAACTAGTCTATATCATAGAACTATATCTCTCTTACATGAATATAAATGATATGAACTAGTCTATATCATAGAGCTATATCACTCTTACATGAATATAAATGATATGAACTAGTCTATATCATAGAACTATATCTCTTACATGAATATAAATGATATGAACTAGTCTATATCATAGAACTATATCTCTCTTACATGAATATAAATGATATGAAATAGTCTATATCACAGAACTGTATATATAAATATATATACACACA